CATAGTAAGAATTTAGAGAAGATGAAAGAAATGATGGGAAAAAGTCCAGCACGAAAAACTAAGCAAAAAGAAAGGTGGTTTAGCTTATAGTGACAGCAGACAAAAACTTGATGGCACAAAGTATCACTAGAGGTAGAGAGGGATATTACAAAATGATTTTTTTAAAGAAGGTTCAATTCACTGGTGTGTCATTTCTATATTTGCATGAGGCCTAATGACAGCCTCAACTATTTAATGCAAAAATAGACAAAACTACAAGGAAAAGAGAAAACCACAATCATCTGTCTCAGTATTCGACAGGATAAGCAGACCAGATTTTTAAAAACAGGAAATATACAGAAGATGAGAGCCACACAATTAGCACTAACGGGCTTACACAGAACACTGAACCCCACAACTGTGTGACACATTCTTTTCAAGCACTGCCAAATGTTTACCCAAAATGGCCATATGATGGTCTTAATGAATAACAAAACACAGAAATCATCAAAGTATGTTCACAGATCACAGTGCAATCTAAGAAGATGGGAGGGAATGAGATCCAGGGCCCACATGGAAGATGGCCTTCGCCAAGATGAAATCCCATCCATTTGTTAACCCCACTTCTGTCTGGTACCACTGCCCACCCTAGTGCAATAATTGAATGAATTATTCCGGGAACCATTTGCTCAAAAATGGTTCCAAATGGTGGGCTCAAGACCTTGTTCACTTTGTTACTTTGATCAACCCTACCGCGTGATTTCAAGATTGAACTCCATTTTTCTTTCTCACTCTCTGAATTATAGACCCATAACTGAGCAGCAGTGAGCGTGGTTAATTTCCCCCACAAACTAGATCCTGCTCACGTGAAGCTACGTGTCTCAGTCCTATGCGCAACTGCAGACTGACATTATCCTGTGAAAAGAGAGCCTGACAAAGCCCTCTGCAGGAAAAGCCATGGGCCTGCCTCTGGTCAGAAGTTAGGGAACAGCAGGCATAGCTGTGGTTAGGGCTACGATTCTCTTCAGGATGGGTTGATTGCAAATGAAAGCCTCAAGTTCAAAGCCAGGGGTCTCTTCCCAGGGATGGAAGGGACCGGAAAAGGGCCATCAGAATCACAAGGGAAGCTTCCTTCACATAAAATATCCTACCTATAGGAGGCCACTCCAGGCCACAGAATGCTGGTTTTTAGTCTTTTACCACAGGAAACACTGTGCCCCCTCCTTCCCTTTTTCAAATGCAATTTTGTCAGGGAAAACATAAAATTGGAGGCAGTGAGAGCCATGGAACCCCCACCCCAATCCCATCCCAACCACCACCATGGAGCCTGGCCACATTTTAGCCTGGACTTTTTTTTAAAGGTAACCAAACACTTAACTCAACCATTAAAAAAAAATCTTGAGGAAGTTCCTGTAGAATGTCTGGCTTTGAGCAGGTCAACTTCCTGGTAGGCTCTCCAAAGCAAACCTAATGTAAAATGTATGAGACAGTTGCTAGGTGAGGTAACCCACTGCACAGAGTTATTAATTACAGACCTGTTTAAAAAAAAAAACAAAACAGCTAATAACGGTGGTATTTGTAAAAATAGTTGCGATGCAGCCCAGTTGTTGGGAATTAATGAGTTATCAGACACCAGTCAAGCCCATCCTATCTTATTTTAGGATAAGAAAGTCCTCTCATCTGTTAAGAGAATGTTTGTCTTTCAGGTGACTTGCAAACTCCTAATCTAGAACAGTCCCGGGTCAAACAACAGTGTGTTAAAAAGAAAGAGACAGGGAACAGATTATCGTCCTTGCTCTCTCTATACGCTACACCCAGAATGGCTCTCACTGGTATGATTCAACAGGACGCTGTCAGCTTAGATCAGTGGGTGCTACTCAAAGCACTGTCACAACAACCCCAGGCAGGGCTGTTTCAAATCTTTGCATGTCCCAGGCTGTCATCATTTTGGAGGGACACTCTTGCTTACATCAAACATATTAAGATGCACCCAACATATTAAGATGCACCCAACACCCTACGTCCGTTTCTGTTTAAATGTTGAAAATGAATTGTATAACTTTGCTTTTAAAATCAGCTTTTCTTTTTGAATGCACAGTCCGTTGTTCATATCTTGGATCCGAGAACCTCTTTTCAGGTCTCCAGCATTTTCGAGACCCTTCAAAATCTTGTTGACCCCAGGCACCGCTGTCATCTCCAGTGCCCAGGGGCTAAATCAGCCCTAGTCTATGAAGCTTATTGCGGGGCTTACTATGAAGAAAATGTCAAGAATAGTGTCTGTCCCATTAAGGAATGTCATCTCTGTGGAGGGCCCCAGGGAAAAGGTCTCTCTAGTTCTGGTATCAAGAGCAGTTGTACTCACACTGTTGTTTTTCATCTTGGGAGCCCATGAGTCATGCAGGTGACCTGCATGCAGGTGACCCTACCCTCTTCACACCGGTCACCACAAAGCTTAGAAAACATGTGTGCCATTTTGTGCTCTAAACTCAGAGATCCCTCTTCTATTTTCTACCCCAACTTTCCCTTTGCCTCATTTCTTCCCATTCATTTTCAATTTATTTTATCTGGCTTAATTAATTGTATGCAAGCTTCTTTAAACCCTTTTTGGACCAAGGCAGGATATAAATAAATCAACACATCAATAGCATTATTTTTCCCTGAAAACTGCCTCTGTCCCACATTTTCTACTTAAGATGGTCCTTCTGTTCAAATGATAGTTAACATTTACGGAGTATTTACTACCGTCAGCTAGCAGCACCACGTGAAGCACTTCACATGGATTACTTCATTCCATCATCATAACAAGCCATGAGATCAATCCTATTCCTTGTCAGATAAAGAACCTGAGGTATAAAGTAACTTGCCAGGGCCACTCAGCCAAGAAAAGCTGGACTGGAATGCTACCCCAGGCTGGCTTCATGGCCACACACCCGCACCAGCCGGAAACTGTGGATGCCACTCCCTGGGTTCCTTTCTGTTGATTCAACCAGCTAAATGCCTCTTGATTCTGTTCCCCTCTTCTCTATCCTCAGCCCAACTTTTTATTTCAGGGCTCTTTTGATCTCTGGCTGGGACTTTTTTTTTTTTTTTTTTTTTTTTTTGAAGTGAGCTAGCCAGGTGTCCCATATGGCCAGGAGTTTTGCAACAGTTCTTAGAGGATCTCTGAATCCAAGCCTGCCCTCTGTGGATCTATCCTCCATGTTTCTGAAATATCAAGGTGTCCACATGTACAAGTCCCCAGTTGTAAGATAGAGTCCAGTTTGCTCTGTCTGGCATTCAGGACCATTTACGATCTGTTCTTAGTCAAACCAGACATACCATGAGCCCACCCCATGCTCCCAAGACAGTGATTACTCCTGGGACAAGAGGCATGTGTTCGTGCCTCAGGGGTCTTGCACACACTGTCCCCTTTCCCTGTGCCTGGCGGACCGCACAGATTTCAAATTTCAGGTTAAAATGCCTTCCTTATTGTGAAATGTTCACTGAACCCCCTAGTCCCCAACCCTCCTCCATACTTTTCCCGTTCTTTGTCAAGATTTCCTCACCATATTTACTTTATTGCGTTTCATTTATTTGTCCCTCTCCCTCACCAGACCCCAAGCTCCTTGAGGACAGGGACTGTGTTGCCTTACCCACTTCAGACCCCCCTCCCATACCAAACGCCCAGCACACAGCAGCTACTCAGTAAGTGAATGTTCAACCAAACTTGATGTGTGTACATCACCTGCAGATTGGCCTTCTTAAGGCACTTCTGCCCCCCACCCTCAAACCCAAGAATAATTTGTACTTTTGGGCAAATCAGAAAAAAATGCCTCCTCTGGGCTGATGTACTCCAATAAGACACCCTTACCCTGGGCTGACACATGGCTTACATGTCCTTCCACAGAGCTTCGAATGAGCTAGACTTTAACCTCACTCTCTTGACCAGGCCAGTTCTTGCGCACGAAGACAGCGTACTTCTCTATACATGGCAGGCCTGCAGGCACACAGACAATCTGTGTGTGCTGTTCCATCAGCTTCCATCTGTGTATGCAAACTTCAATACCCAGCCCAAATGTCACTTCCCCTGTGAATGCTTCCCCTGTACCTCTCAGACAGATTTAACCGCTCTCTCTCTCGTGTATTCCCACAACTGCAGAAGGTACCCTTGTTTGAGTCTTACTGTACCGCATCACACATCTTTCTGTATTGCTGGTCTCACTGCCGGACCATGAGTAGGATCAAGAGTAGGATCACGTCAGGCAGGTGTGGGTCCCAAACGCCTACAATGATGCCTTTCATATAAACGGGGGGAGGGGGGTGTTCAATAAATGTTACTATTTGGTTCAAAATCTTCACAAAGCCTTTCTTTTGCCTCCTGGTTATTTCAAACTCCCCAGCCTGGCACGCCAGTCTGTCAGTCTCATGGCTCGCTGGTCACCCATGCCCCCCTCCTCAGGTCCTGTCCGGTTATCTGTGCTGCAGTAGACTCAAGTTGGATTCGCTAGCACCCCTTACCTCTGTCCCTCCACCCCTCTGTCCCTCCTGCCTCCTCCCTACAGTGCCCTCCTCTCCTCTTTGCCTGTCAAATTTCTATTCATCCTTCAAGGCCCAACTCAAATGCCATGTTGGTCATGAAGCATTCCATCCACAGATGTGGCTTCTTGCTGCTAAGAACCAAAGCACTCTGTCCGTCCTGAGTCATGCCTGAAACATTGCTGTGTTTGAATGATATGTGTCTGTAATGAAAGCACTTTGAGGCCAGGTATTCCCAGACTTCTAGCACAGTGTAGTGCACATAGTAGGTGTCAGTAAATACTGGACTGAAGAGAATAAAGAATCCAGTGCTACACCATGCAGCTGAAAGAGGCAGCAAACTCAACTTCACGGAACTGGCGGCAGTGCACAGAACTCCTCTCCTGCCCCTCTTTTATCAGTAGGGATAACAAATGAACTCAAGGCAGAATTGCATAAATCGCCCCTCCCTTCCTCCCCCAGCCAACATAGTTCAGCTTCCCTTCTGAAGAGGTGAGAGCGAGGAGTGACAGCTGGTTTCTCTTGCCCCACCCCCTCTCTTTTCCCCCAAACACAGAGCAGAAATTCACCTCTGACAACACTGCTTTCAAGCTCCGGCAGGACACAGTCCACACAGGACACATGGCACGCAGCCCTCGGCACACCTCTGCAGGAATAGTGCAGACAGACGCCTCCCTCTCCCTCTCCGGCATGAAGCACCTCACCTCTGCACCCTGGGCTGCCCTGGCCCTCGGCCTGGTCTTTGCCTCCTTCCACTTGGCTTGCTTGGCAGGTAGAACTGTGAGCTTTATTCTTGGCCACGCTGGGAAGGGGGAGGGAGAGAAGGAGGGAAAGGAGAGAGGGATGGAAGGAGGGAGAGGGAAGGAGGAGATTCTTTGGCTAGGGTTGGTGCCACACAAAGCAAAGAGCAAACAGTTCTCACCTGAAGGATTAGACAGAAGGTGGTGAGTTGGGGTGGGGGTGTTCGACATTTACCTAAGCCCTTGATCAAATGCTCAACTCCTCAGCTAGGACAGGATTAGCCACTTCGATTGGACTTTGCCACAAAGAAAGAGGAAAAAGCAATGTACCGACCGTCTCTCCCATCCCGGGACCAATCTGGCCTAAAGTGACATTTTATTGGTTGCTGTGTCTCAACGGCTCCTTCTTGGTGCCCCTGGCTATTGTGGTTTGCAATTCCCGCTCTGTACTCCTGATCCTCCCCTAAGGTCCTCTGTCCCTCCCTTAACCCTGTGCTTCCTTTGCAACTTTCACAAAACCCCAAAGCAGGAAAGCTGTCAAACGCTGCCTACGATTCTCCCACCTTCCCCGAGCACGGGAGATGTTGAGTTATTGCCCTCTCTGTTCACGCACGCTAGAGGGGTTGAGTAGCAGCTCCTGTCTTGCTCTCTCAGGCTGGGCTTTGCACCCCATGCAGGGAGACGTCCCTCATACCCTCATGCTTCTGGCTTTGGCCTCTGGCTTTGATCTTGCTCTGCAGCTCCTGCCCTGCCCTTGACAGATTTCTCTCTCTCAAAACCAACCCTCGATGACCCCTCAGGGCTGTATCTGTCTGCCTTGTCCTCACCGCCTCTCCTTAAGAGGTTCAGAGTGTGAGCTCTAGCCACTCAGCCTCAGCTCAGTTCTGGCTTCCACAACTTACTATCTGTGTGGCCTTGAGCAAATCACTTAAAGTCTCTGTGCCCCAGTTTTCTCATTTATACCGTGAGGATAATCACAGCACTTATATATATAGGGTTGTCATAAGATGAAATGAGACTACTGCATGTAAAGAAGTTTTAGTAAATTAGCACAGGGTAAACAATGAATGTTAGCATGTTTATTTTCCAATACCCCTCCCCAGATGAGCATTTTATTTCTTTTATTTGCTTACCCTCATAGTGAATTACTTATGATAGGCTCTCAAAAAACTTGACAAATTTAACTGCACTTAATTGTTGGGTATTCCCAGCCCCCAGTACTTTGGAAGTGACCCCAAGTGGGACTGGTCCCCGACCGGCTATGCTTATGAGGGAGGAGGATGAGGTTTAAATTCTTAGACATTATTAATTAGGCTATTCAGTTCGAACCACATAAAATTACCGATATTGAAAAATTTTTTGACCTACCAAAATGGCCATTTCGAATGCTTTAACCTAATACCAGCATCGATTAATTAGGTTTTTTCCATTCACTTGCTCTAGACGGGGACTACTTCCATTCTAGGGCAGAGGGGAGATGAAAGTCAAGGCCAAGGAAGTTAGTTGGGTTAAAAGGGAAATTAAATGTTGAGGAATCAATTTCTCCAAAACAAATAAAGACCAAGTTCTAAGCCATTTACTTGTAAATAATTTACAGTAACAATCAGATTGTGTCAAGGTAATTACTATACTTCAGGCAGGACATTGGAGTGGCCTGGGTGGGCCGGTGGCATAAAATTTGTCTGAGCAGCGATTTCATGGCTTTGGCTAAACAAGGAGTTGCTTCCTGACTTGTCCTGCTACACGACAACAAGCTCCTTTGAAGGACACGCTGCCCTAGAGTCAGTGGGGCCTTGAGAGTCTCCAAACCACCTTTTATTTTTTATTTATTTATTTTTTGCATCCTCAAGGAAGCAGAACAGCAGTATAATTAATTTCCAGAACAATTCTTTAAAATTGACCTCTTGGTCTTGATCTACCTAGCCTAACACTATCTAATAAAAATTTTTTTGATGATGGAAGTTGTGGGGCATCCCGATTGGGTGGGGGGCAGTGGTACCAAGAGTGAGAGAATTCACCCCAGGCAGAACAAAGGAGATAGAAGTTTACTGAATACACTGCAAGAGGGCAACGGGCAGGACAGCCAAGGAGAGACATTCTGCTGTGAGGTGGTGGTGAGGGCTATAGTTATAGGGTGGAGTGAGGGAGCATGGGAACATACGGAACTTTCCCTGTTCCAGTAATCTTAGGAACCGTGCTTGGTTGTAGCTGGTCAGTTTGGGTGGCTATTTCAAAGCTTCATGAGCCTGTTTGCATTCAGGTGGGGGTCGCTGTGGGCCCTTTTGCCTTGATCAAGTTTCGAGTGCTCATGCCTATTGCCTAAAAGCAGCCTCTACAGAAACGTTCCACGTCTGTGCTGTGTTTCCAGGACGGTAGCATTTTGGAATGTGGTGATCCAATGTGGTAACTGAGCACTTGACATGTGGCTAATATGACCAGGAGGTTGAATTTTTAATTTAAGTCCATTTTAATAAATTTAAATAGCTACAAGTAGTTGCCCTATTGGACAGAATGGACCTGGATCATCCATCTGCTCATTCTCAGCCACGAGAGGGAACAGAGACAATGGCTTTTCATGCTTAGGAATCTTTACGTTCATCTCTGTAGCCCCACCTCACCCCCACACCGATAGAGCTTTGAGAATTCCCACTAAAGTTCTTTTTACCTTTGTGCTCCTTATTTACGGGTCAAGAGACAACTCTAAAGGCTGCAAATTCTAGCCATCTCTGGACTTGGCTGCATAGTGTTTAATTTTTTTGATAACCACCTGTCTGAGGTATACCATCATAATCATCAGAAGTTAAGACACAAAGTCAGATTTCAACATTTATTCGTTCAAGTTTTTGAAGGGAATTGAAGATACGTATGAGAAGACATGTGAGCTTGTTAAATGATTGTTTTAATATATATATATACGAGAGAAATATATATTATATATATATATATAATATATATATACGAGAGAAACCATGTCTACATGTAGCTATTTGCATAGGAAACAGCTAAAACAGAGTGTTTGAAAAGCTATTTGCAGCAGGCGTTGGCCACTGAAGAGTGAGATAGGAAGGAGATGAGGTGTGAAGCCATGAGTCGATGAACCATGCAGATAAAGCGTCTCTGAATGAAAATAGTGAAAGGAAAAGGGGACTGTATGCCTTTGCTGCCATAAAACCTACCACAGACTGGATGGCTTAAATAATAGGAATGTATCTTCTAACAGTTCTGGAGACTCCAGGTGTCAGCAGGTGTCTTCTCCTGATGCCACCTTCTCACTGTGACCTCACCCGGTCTCTTCTCTGTGCAGGTACATCCCTGGTGTCTCTCCCTCTTCTCGCAAGGACACCGGTCATATTGAATGAGGACCCACCCATACGACTCCATTTAACCTTGATTTAACCTCTTTAAAGGCCTTTTCTCCAGATATAGTCACTACCATGGGTTAGGACTTCGATGAACTTGGAGGGGTCAGTTCAGTCTATAACATATTGTTAGCTTTGTTGCATGAAGTCTTAAAATACCTAGACTGGAACTTTCGCAGTATCACTACAAATTCACAAAAAAAGATTTCACACTCTATGCCTGGGGATGGATTTTCCTACTGCCTGTGACCCTCTTCTGTCTTTTCTTCCAGAAGTGAGAAACAGCGACAATGCCACCTTGACCACCCACCACCCAGACCCTGGAAACCTGGAGCAGTGCCCCAGTAAGCTTCTCCTGGCTGCTGACCTCACCCCAGAGCTGGCCCTGGGTCTGGGAGGGAAACTTAAGCTTGCTTGCTGTTGATTGGGGTCCGGTGGCACCGCGCCTGCCTGGCCTTCCTATGCTCTCGTGTGGTTTGTTCATGGCCCCCAGAACTGCCTGCATAGCACATCGAAAAAGCTATCTCAGCCTTGGCCTTGATGTAGGTTCACAATCTTTGGTACAGATGGCTTTAATGACCCATCCACAGTATGTATAGCAGCCAAAGATGCGTTAGAAACTTAGAAGGGGAAAAACCAGAAAAATCTGCCAGGCCAACTTCTGCCCAATGCAAGAGCTTTGTTTCGGCACCCTTTGCATATTTCTGTCCACCCTCTGCTTGAGCACTCCCAACAGCAAGGACGCCAGTATTTCCTAAAGCAATAAGCATTGTTACCACGGGTCCAGTTCATAGTGTTGCTTTATTCTACGCTGACTCCCTTTCTGCTGCCCTCACTGAATGACCAAATGTGTTTGCTTCTGGGCATTTACAAAGGAGGGTAATAGGCAATAATACTTAGAGGTTAAGTTCAGAGCTTTGGATTCTTTCGGACTTGGGTTTGAGTCCTCTTCTGCTATCTGGTGACCTTGGGTGAGTTACAGCCTCAGCTCCTTCATGGGAATATAACTGTACCTCTCACTGTGTGAGGAACGAGTAAGGGGACGTGTGTGAAGCACGTAACTGTGTGTGGCATCCTTCAGTAAACGTTAGCTCTCGTATGGTTCCTGGCTTGTTCTTACAAACCCTGGAGGGTGAGCTGCGTGGGCTGGTGCGATGCACCCTGTTGTTCTTGCTTTCCCTTCCCCACCAGACGTGGACTTCTGCCTCCAAGTGGCTCGGTGTTGCCACACCGGAGTGGACGAATATGGCTGGATCGCAGCCGCCGTGGGCTGGAGCCTGTGGTTCCTCACCCTCATCCTGCTCTGCGTGGACAAACTGATGAAGCTCACTCCAGATGAGCCCAAGGATTTGCAACCATGAGCCCCCCCGAGAATGTCAGTGGCCACCAAACTGTGGGTCACCGGGGGGGGGGGTGGTCATGTGATTTCTGCCCAGTTACAGGTGTTGTCACCTCTGTGCTTCGGGGACTTTTAAAAGAGAAGGAAGAGAGAAAGGAGGATCCAAGGAAGGCAGGCCAGTGCTGCTTCACTCCTAAATCCACAAGGTACTGGTGCCTTCTGAGTGCTGACAATCTCTCTCAATCTACGGGGCCTGCTTCGGTTTTAACCAGTGCTTTGGTCGGCGCTCCAAGGGAGGTGCACAAGAAACATGCGACTCTGACCTTTGTCCCTACGTTCGGAGCTCAACTCAGAACCTTCTCACCCAAAACAGGTCCCTGTCTTCCATCCCTCATTTCATTCAAGGGCATCACTGGCATCTCAAAATGTGAGAATCGCCTTTGACCAGCCCACCGTCCACACCCCCCACCCCGTGCATTGCTTCTCCCGCTCTTGTTCTTTTCTTCAACATTATCCTTCCATGGCCGTCCGGCCCCACCGTCCCCGCCGGCACCCCGGCTCTGGCCTTCCTCCATCGCCCCTACATCATTTCAGGCATGTTCTGTTCTCTTCTCGCAGCCGTCAGGCACGTCCTCCCCACGGGCCCCTCCCCAGAGCAGCTGCCAATGTGGTGCTGTCGCCCCCTGCTGACGACCTTCCGTAAAGCCTCACCCCTGAACCTTGGACGGACATGCGGCGGGCCTTCCGCTCTCCGCAGGAGTCCGACCCCCTTCCCAGGTCTGTCTCCGCGCGCCTCCGGGACCAGGGCTCCGGTGACCCAGTCCTTGCCCCGACGTCTTCCACTTCCTGCTGCCCGTCCCTCTGCTCTGCTGGGGGGTGGGGGTGGGGGGATGCCTTCCAGCCCTGCCTCCAGATGGAAGGCCAGCCCTCAAAGTCCAGCCCAAATGTCTGCTCTTCTTGCAGCCTTCCCTGATAGCCTTGGGGGACCCGAAGCTGGTGCTCTTAGGGGTGCGTCTGCTCCACCCTGAAGTGCAGCCCTCGTGAATACACAGTGTATACTGCCTCTTGCTCCTGGGGATAGAAAGTTCTTCGTAATGTTTGTCCGATGAGTGAATGATAAGTGAATGAACTAACCAACGATCGAGTCCCTGCCCGAGATAACTTAGGACCATCATTCCTCATCCTGCACAAGGATGTTTGCTGGTCACCGGGAACATTGCCAGGGGTTTCAGGAGGAGAGGAGAGTGGGTTCATCAGAAGGAAGGAAGGACCAAATGACTCTCTTTATGAGACAATGCCGCCCTTTGTGGGGACACATGTATTTAGATTGAACAACCAAATAATCATACACAATCAAGTGAGAGGCCCCTGAAGTAGGAAGAAGCGTTTCCTAGAGGTGGCAGATGGCTCAGAGCTGCCCACCTGCTCTTTCAGAAAATCTAGGTAGATTTCCCCAACAATGGGAACTGAGGGAATTGCCCGGATCAGTCCGCTGTTTCCTGAATCTCTGTGGTTTAATCAATAAAATGGATGGATTTACTTTACTGTGCCCACGTTACATAATCGCGTGAACAAGGGTCTGCGTGATGCCCCACGCGACGTTACGAACACACACGAGCATGTTCCACTTTTTTAGACATTTGAGGAAAGAGTCTCCACAATATGTGATAGTTGAACTCCTTAGAGATGGAAAGAGTCAGTAAGGACCCCCTGGGATTTAACATCTGCAAGCGTTTTTGAAATAAAACAGTGTGACATCCTGGTGAGAACACTACCTCCGAAAAGCAATAGAGAGAAGGGAAAAGAAGACTGATTGCTGGCCAATGTGAACGGAAACAAGTCACTTCACCTTGGGGAGTGTCAGTTTCCTAAGTACAGAATGTAGGAATTGGACACAGCCGTGGTTACAAACTGGGATGCCAAAGCCTGGAGGGCTAGCTGGGGTGCTGCATGGAAGGGGAAGGCATGAGGCCGGTCCTTGGAACCACAGCGCATGGCTCTTACCTTCTATATGCCAGACCTCCACAGTAAGATTTCATTTGCTCCTTCATTATTATTATTTAGAGAGAGAGTGCGAGCAGGGTGGGGAGGGGCAGAGGGAGAGGGAATCTCAAGTGGACTCCCCCCTGAGCGTGGGGCCCAACGTGGGGCTCAATTTCACAATCCTGAGATCATGACCTGAGCTGAAATCAAGAGTCGGACGCTTAACCGACTGAGCCACCCAGGCGCCCCTCATTTGCTGCTTTAGAAGCAGAAAGCCAGAACATCCCCTCAGGTCTGGGCAACGTGAAGTTTCTTAGACTACATTGAAGTGAATAATGTGTAGTTACTACCACTGCCACATTCAAATTTAGGCGTGTTGTGAATCGCCTTCCTTTCCTCTGTACAAGAGGACGAACAGACCAAATCCAAATCACTGCTCTTTTCTTTGAGACTAGACAGAAAGACAACTTAAATAATTTGGTGGTTATACTTTCCAGATGCTTCATCTCAGATCTTCCCTCAGCACGGGATCTCTTTACTCTATCAAAGCAAAGATTTGTCAATAAATTAAAAAGGAAAACCTGAAGGGGAAAACCAAGTATCACCTTCCAGGGATCTAAGAACCCCCTGGTATAAAGCAGCAGGACCTAACAGTAGATGTGCTTTTCATTTAAGATGTTTGCTTTTATTCTTTTTTTTAAGATTTTATTTATTTATTTGACAGAGAGAGACACAGCAAGAGAGGGAACACAAGCAGGCGGAGTGGGGGAGGGAGAAGCAGGCTCCCCGCTGAGCAGGGAGCCCGATGCGGGGCTCGATCCCAGGACCCTGGGATCATGACCTGAGCCGAAGGCAGATGCCCAATGACTGAGCCACCCAGGTGCCCTAAGATTTTTGCTTTTAGTAGATGATGTTGCCCCCAGCACTGTCACAGGCTGTGTGACACAGAATCCACACTGGTTGGGACATCTCTGTACCAAAGTGTCCTGCATAAAAACAGAATATGAAACATTAAGGTTTGGCACAATTATCTGACTTTAAAATCTATTCCTTTTTATATACGCATGACACCCAAGGACAAATAAATCAAATACATAGTTTTTTAGTAAAAATAAAATGTTAGGGGCGCCTGGGTGGCTCAGTGGGTTAAGCATCTGCTTTCAGCTCAGGTCACGATCCCAGGGCCTTGGGATTGAGCCCCGCATCGGGATCCTTGCTCTGCGGGGAACCTGCTTCTCCCTCTGCCCCTCCCCCTGCCTGTGCTCCCTCCCTCTCTCTCTAATAAATAAATAAAATCTTTAAAAAAAAATAAAATAAAATGTTATACCATGCAAGATTCATCAACAACAAGTCTTAGGCTAGCTTTTCCATAAAAATATATGTAAATACACTTTTAAACTTACAGAAATCATAATCTAGAAATGTTTTTGATGAAGAGCAACTTTCTCTGAACCCTGGCATCTATTTTAAGATCATATAAACATAATGTGGTGTGACTTCATTGGTCTTCACTGGCATGTGGTAGGAGTGCCTTGTAGACAATCTCTATCTGGTGTCTCCTTCCAGCCTTACCTGGTCTAGCGCATCCTTCACCCTTCCTTCCAGAATAATCTTTCTAATACCTAAATAAGTGATCAAGGCACTCTCCTGCCTGAAATCCTCGTGTGACTCCCCACAGCTGACAGAGTAAAATCCATACTCTTAGGATGACCCATCAGGTCTTCTGTGATTGGATCTCCAGGTATTTCTCTAGCTTAACGTTTGCATATCCTTCATGCAAGCCCAGTTCTGAATGATTTTAGTTCCCAAACATGCCAGGTCTTTTCTATCCTCCCTGTCTTTGTTCTTGCTGTTCACACGGCCTGGAACATATTCTTCCCAAGAGGCAGATTGCTCATGAGCCAAGGGCAGCTTACAGTTCAGGTCACCTTACTTGCAGGCTCCCCCACTGCGGGCCCATTACCTAATTTTGTATTTCTAATTCTATATATATTTCCTTAAGAGGGCCTTTTAATTGTATGCATGTGAGGTCCCACAAGCCTGAACCCTGCTCTTCTGCTCCCCCTTCCCTCTTCTGACTGGACTCATTTAGTTTACTGGGAGTGTTCTTTCCAGTCCAGCTGTCCCTTGTCCCTGGATGGACACGGACACACACACACACACACACACACACACACACACACACACACACACACACCACCTCCAAGGCCTGTGTTCACCTTCAGGGCAGCACTGAGGCAAAGTGCTTGACCAAACTCTAGCCAGGCTCCTCTTGATCCCTCATCTCAACTAGGCCTCAACCCTGGCCTATAAAAACTACAGAATCTCAACACAAACGATTTTGTCTACCTTTCCCCCCACACATTCAAAGACTTAAACAAATACTATTATAGCTTCTAACAACTCAAGACCACATCCCTAGGATGACCCTATATCCCCCGCCACCCTCCTTAAAGTGCTTGTCTGAGAAAGCTCAAGGCTGACCAAAAAAATCGACCATTTGTTCTAACCAATGCCTGACAGTAGGCATCTGACCACCTTTTCTTAGAGCATTTACTAAAAGGGACTTATATATCTATTTCTATACGTATCTAGCTATATATCTATCCATCTATATATCTGTTACAACCAGGATCTGAAAGCTATTCCTTTAAAATGTAATCACCAGGAAGGACAGGGCCTCTGTCTCCCAGTCTCTGGAAGGACAGGGTCTTAACTTTGATGACTGACAACTGCTGGACACACCTGGCCTAATCATTAGCGTTTACACTGACCAACATTTTGCATTTCTCGCTTCCCTGACACTCCTGAGCTCCAGCTCACCCCACTCCTTACTCCCTCATTCCCCTGTCACACACCCCCCAGTCACCTCTGTACAAATCGAAGTTGAGTTCACGCTAGACCCTCTGCCCTGCTGTAATAGTCCAGTACAATATTAAAACCTGTCCTTAACCACTTTGGTGTCCAGCTTTTTTTTTTTTAATCTTTGACAACTGAGCATGTTGGACTATAATATCTACCTGCTTGTCCTTCTCAGTAGTCTCTCTGAAGGCAGGGACTGTGTCTTTAACCTCGGATTCCTTCCACCTACCCAAGGCCTAGATGTGCAGCACAAACTCAGTAAACATTTGATGAATTCGTGATTCAGATGAGACCCAAGAACGTGGCCTGTGCAAACCACCACAACAAAGAGGTAGAGCTACGGAGACAGAGGAGGCGGCTCTTGAGAAAACCTGGCATCTCAAGATTGGGAAAAAATTTAATTATTGTTTCCATGAGTTTATAATAAACACATATTTAAGTCATTTGTGGAAATGAGTAATGGGCAGATCTACCCACCAAGTTAATTCTGTGATGAGAGACAACCGGACAAGGGCCAGGCCATATATAAAAATAGAACTTTGACCCACAATCTGCAGGCAACCAGTCCAAGAAGCCCACCCGCTACCTGTCTAGGAAGGTAGTCTAGGAAGTCAACTAGCCTAGGAAGTCCACTAGTACTCTAGGAATTCAACTAGCCTAGGAAGTCCACCAGCACTCTAGGAAGTCAACTAGCCTAGGAAGTCTACTAGTACTCTAGGAATTCAACTAGCCTAGGAAGTCCACCAGCACTCTAGGAAGTCAACTAGCCTAGGAAGTCCACTAGTACTCTTGGAAGTCAACTAGTCTAGGAAGTCCACTAGCACTCTAGGAAGTCAACTAGTCTAGAAAGTCAAACTACTACCTGTAGCACCCGTCAGGAAGGCAAACCACCTCCATAGCACCCAGCCAAGATTTGGTTAATAACAGAGAGCTTCAGTTAATTAATTAATTCTCACCCCTGCTTCCAACTCCGGACCATCCAGGGAAAGGGAAATGTGTACCCTCAACCAATCACACAGGATGCCCCACTCCCAGTCAGCCCACCTACAGCTGGCCCATGCCAACAGCCTACAGTCGGCACACGGAAGATCTGGAGCCTTCCCCTTTTTCGCTATGAAACTCTCCCACTTCCTTGCCTGCCTCTTAGTGACTCCCAGGTGTAGGTGATGGTGCCTGACTCCCTTGCTAGAGCAGGCTCTGAATGAATAGCTTTGGCTTCTCATTTGGGTGGTCCTTGTTTATTCCCATGGTCACTATTTGTTGAACTCTTTGCTGAAACTCTTGTCCTGTTCTTTGTACCCTGAGGGAGATCTTTTTATCTGGGAAGTTCCTGTTACCCCATCAAATGAAGGAAACTACCAAGAGGGAGTATTATGGGCTGAACTCTATCCCCCGCAAATGCTTATCCCCCAGGACCTCAGAATGTGATCTTATTCGGAAGTAGGGTCGTTGCTGGGATAATTACTTAAGATGAGGTCACACTAGAATAGGGTGGGCCTCTAATCCAGTCTGTTTTTATATAAAGGGGATATTTGGACACAGACCTGCCCACAGGGAGAACAGCATGTGCTGAAGACAGAGATCAGGGTGACACATCTACAAGCCAAGGGATCCTAAAGATCACTAGCAGCCCACCAAACATGAGGGGAGAGGTCTCTCTTTTTTTTTAAGATTTTATTTATTTACTTGAGAGAG